TGGTGATTGGAGGAGAGACAAATTTACGATCAAGCGGTTTGTGGTATAAGTGGTAACGAATCACGATGATGGTGTAGGGTTACTCGGTCGCACTGGGACTGAGTTGAAGTTCGGCCGGTGGCAAAAAACATAATTTAACTATCGGCCGTGTGAGAATGCCGGTTTGAGTGCGTACCTCGACAACACGAACATGCCCATCCTTGCCAGGGTGCAACCTATCGATGCGGCCCAGGCGCCATTCCGTGGGCGGGAGTGTGTCATCATTAATGACTACGCATTCTCCGATTCTGGGTTCGACTTGAGCATTCTTCCACCTGTGTCCCTTGCGTAAGTCTTTGAGGTAGTCTTCCTTCCATCGTTGTGCGAATTGGTGGTGTAAGGCCTTGAGTTTTTCCCATCTATTAATGAGCGAGAGGTTTTCGCGACTAGATTCGGGGAATGATAGGAGGGGAGCACCCCGGAGAAAGTGGCCAGGTGAGAGCGCTGTAAAGTCCGTCGGGTCTTGGGTGAGTTTCTACTCTTATTAAAAGGGTAGTAAACTCCTCAAACGTAAATTTATGGGGCCCGGCAGTCCTTTTGAAGTGAAGTTTAAAACTTTTAACGGCAGACTCCCATAAGCCACCCATGTGCGGGGCGCTGGGAGGTATAAATTGCCAATTAATACCCTGGGGTGAGTATTTTTGGACAATATCACGGGATGCAGTTTGGAGGAAGACAGAGAACTCCTTTTCAGTGGCTCTTTTGGCTCCTATAAAAGTTTTGCCATTATCACTCATCATTTTAGCGGGGTAACCACGGCGACCAACAAAACGAGCGAAGGCGGCGAGAAATGCCTCTTTGGTCAGGTCTGAGCACAGCTCGAGGTGTACCGCCTTTGTTGTGAAGCACACAAAGACGGCCACATAGCCTTTCACTAAAGTGGGAGATCTTAGCATGGAGGCTTTTATTTGAAAAGGCCCAGCAAAATCAACACCGGTGGTGGTGAAGGGCGGAGCGAAGGTGCATCGTTCGGGCGGCAGGGTAGCCATAATCTGCGAGCGCATTTTCTGTTTGTGAATGGTGCAGGATTTACATTGATAAATGCATTTTTTGATGAGGGGCTTGAGCCGGGGAATGTAAAATTCTTGCCTGGTCATCTGCTGCATAAGTCGTACTTCTGCATGGAGGAGTAGATCATGGAGAAATTTTAGATAGAGGAATGCGAATCGGGACTTTTCCGGAATTATAATGGGGTGACGTTCGTTATAGCTCAAGGTAGCATGAGCAAGGCGTCCATTGACGCGGAGAACTCCATTTTTATCCAAGAAGGGGTTAAGAACTAATAGTGAACTCTTTTTGTCAATGGGTTTGGAGTCTTCCAAGCGGGCCCTTTCATGGGAGAAATGACGGGTTTGCGTGGTTATAATCAGACGGATTTTCGCGCAGCGGAGATCATCATGTGATAGCGGGGATGATGCGCGGTCATGAGCTCCTGGCGGTTTGTCGTTTAGTCGTCTGATGAACTTGAAGACGTAGGCCATCACTCTCAAGGCTCGAGA